GCTTTGGTTTTTTCTTTTCCTCAGCAACTCCAGATGGTTGTGGCATCGACATTACTTGGAATGGCGGCAGCACTGAAGATACTTGGAATGGCAACGCTGCGACAAAGTGCCTCCACAACTTCGCCGTCGTAAGTGTTGCCTCTGCAACTTAGTTGCGTCGGCTTTCTCTTTCTCTCACTTCAGATAGCGGTTGAACCGAAGATATTAGAAATGGCGGCGCTAAGGCAAAGTGCCTCAATAACTTTCCCGTTGCATATGTTCCCTCCGCAACTTCACCACTACAGGTGTTGCCTTTACAACTTGACTTGGGCATTTTTCTTCGTGGAGTCCATCTGGAGCCCTAGTGGGTCGGATCTGCCTCGGCCCACTGTTGGCCCACTTCCCTTAGGCTTTGGCCCATGCTCCTTTGCTATCCCTGGGCGCCTCTTTGGGGTAACCTCAGTGCTGAGGTCCATACTTAGTTTGGGGCTTAATTTCTAACCCTCTACATTTTGTCCCCTGCGCGCGTGGGAGACACACTTCCTGTTTCCCGCGCGTGCATGACATCAGCAAGCAACCCAAGGGTTGCGTCGGTTGGGTCAGAAGTTGCGTCGGCTCTGAAAAGGTGTCCCTTTAACTGCCAGGTCATAATGGCCTAGGGAAATGTATTGGCGCCCTTTGTTGCTTTTCCTTTATAAATAACGCCCTTGGGTCCACTGGTTCCCCACTTCTACCCAACACACCTTTCTGTCTCCTTTGTTTTCTTCTCTTCCTTGTCTCCACTTTCCAAAGCCCTTTTTACCTTTCTTTATTCTTTCTCATGGCCGGCACAAGATTTCTTCCGAACAAGGTTGCCCCACCCCTTACTGAGTAGAGGAGGGCCCCATACTTCGGAGGACTGGTTGACCCCTTGTGGAAGGTGGTTAACTCCTTCATTCCTGATGCCTTTTCTCTAGAGGAGTCTTTGCTTCCTTTTGGAGAGGCTACTTTGGATGACGTGGACATGGTGAACCCAGTCTCTATGCTGCGGCTTCGCGTGGAGCGCGGTGACTTTCCATATTCTTACATCTACTATCGCACTCATTTGGGCCCTCCAGCAGATTGGTCTTTTTGGGTTGATGACATCATTGCAGATGGCGGTTTCGAGCAGCGTTTGCGTGATGTTCGTCTTTTCAATGTCATTTTGATCTCGAGGGAGTTATCGATGTGTAAGGTGCAGACCAATACTGATATGGTTGTCTCCCGCTGGAGCTGCGACACTCATACTTTTGCCTTGGCATGGGGAGAGATAACCCCAACCCTGGAAGATGTTGCCGTCCTTCTACACCTGAGCACCTGTGGAGATCATCCCTTTGATCCAGTGTCCCTGACTCCTGTAGAGCAGGTTACCGTCACTGCTCTCTAAGGCGCCTTTCGGGAGGCGCGGAAGTTTGGTTCCTGGTATGACCTCAGAACTGGGAAACTGCTGCAGGAGAGACCTAAAAGGGACAAAACCACCTATCTTTCCTGGCTGAAGCGCTTTTTGAAGGACCTGCAACCAGTTGTAGGCGACATCACCAAGGAGAGTCGCGACTCTGTAGTTGGGCAGGGCTACCGAGGTGACTTGCACTTGGTCGCATTCATCAGTTATTTCATCTCCTTCTTTGTTCTACCTAGTAACCCTGTCGAAAGCATTAATCCCCTGGTGTTTCCTTTGGCTATCAAGCTCTGTAGTGGTAGTCAGATTTCTCTGGCTCCTCTCTTCTTGGGGAACCTATATTTCTGTCTTGATCTCATCCATTCGGACATGGAACGGTTTATGGGCCGCTACGGTGTGTGGAGCTTCGTACACACTCAGTTCTGACTACTTTTTTCTACAAGAGATTTCTTGCCATGGGCCCTACCCCTAAGGAACACGAGCCCTTCTTCACCGATGAAGTCTTTGATGCAGAGGGCCATCCTGTTCTAGATGTAGAGGGTTGACCTGTCACAAGGCAAGTGCGTCAATCCCTCTCTCGCATCTCTCGGTGGTCTAGTCTTGGCACCAACAAACCCTTTGCAGACTATGTTGACCGTATGGAGGAATGCATGTTCCGCCCTTTCACTCAGCCTCTTCCAGGCATTTTTGTTGTCTCATGTTATTTTTCAGAGGCTCGCCATGTTGATTTTTCTCTTGACAGTGTCCAGGCTAATTCCCTCCTTATTGCTGCCATGATTCGCCCCGGATTTCTACCTGTGTGGAACAAAGAAGGCATGTCTAACATCGTCTATCGGCCGGACAGGGTCCTTAGATAGTTCGGGATGGATCAGGGCGTCCCACATGCCCCTTTGCCTTAGACTGATTTCCACCAGAGTTTTCAACGGTTTGCCCATGATTATACTGCTCTACTTGTGGAGGGCTTAGGCTTCATGGAGCTTCCTTCACTTGGGAGAGAGGGCGCATTTACTCCTAATAATAGGCTGTTCTGGTATCGCAACCTCAATTCTTTCTTCAATTTTTGCAACAGTGCTCCAATTGTCCCTACAATGGATCATATCCCGTAGCCTGATTTATCCCTTCGTCTGCCTTCTAACCGAGGGAAACAATCCAGTATATTCTGCCACTTTAAGCTTCTATCCCTGCCTGTTGTGGAGGAGCCTCACCCGTCTGGGGCAATGTCTGTTCAACCCTTGCAGATTGCTCCTCCCTAAGTTGGCACAATAGTACGCATAACCCGTTCCCGACTGAGGGCAGCCTAAGCAGCAGCGACACCAGTTATCGAGGCACATGCCTCACCAAGCAGGAAGAGACTACGAAGGGTATCCATACTTAGAAAATATTTTTTATTACTTCCTTGGACTTCTTATATTTACTTGAATAACCGTATGATCTTTTTTTTTTTTCTTTTAGGGCCCATCGACCACACTACCTTCTGGTTTATGAGGTTTTTTTTACTGCCATTGGCATTTTTTTCAGACTTAGACGACGACGACGACAACCTTCCCATTGCTACTAGGGTCATAAGATTCAAGACCTGCAGGATAGTTCTTCCAGATGTTGAAGAGGAACCCAACGCTAGAGCCGAACCAACTACTGAGGCCGAGCCAATTGCCGAGGTTGAGCCAGTTGTGGAGGCTGCAGACAATGTACAAGTTCCCCCTGCTGTGGAAGTTGCAGCGGGTGATATAGTTGCTGAGGGTTCAGAGCCTCCACACCCCGCTGACTCTGTGCACTCCGACCGTTCTTTTGTCGGCGGAGATGATTTCGTACCTGAGACCCCAAGGGAAGATCGCGACATAAGAGAGCCGCTAGAAGTTGCACCACCTACCCTTAGAGTTGCATGCGGCAGTTCCTTCCAGTCTATCGACTCTCCATTGGTTTAACATACTCCACTTCCAAATGTCCCAGTGGCTGAGGAGAGTGCAAGTGCAGCGGCTGCTGCCACTGTTCCTGCTATGGCCCCTCTAAATTTGGACCAACTTATAGAGGTAGCTGTCACTTTAGCCACCTACAGTGCTACTGCTGTTGCTGGGACCTCTGACCCAGTTGCTTCGGCAACCTCTGAACAGTTGGCAGACTTGTACCTCACTCACTTTCTAGAAGTGCCAGCTGACCTTGGGGTGTCCCGAGATTTATATACTGGGATGGATTCTATTACTATTCTAGATCTGAATGTTGGAGATTACCAGATGGATGACCTTTTTTTGGAGTGACACGACGGTGTAGACAACTTTGGCCTTTCTTGTGAGGCCAGTTCACCCAGTCGCTAGCTAGCATCTACTCACTCTAATGCTGCTGGGCAATCATGTTCAGGGGAAGTGCGCCGTCCTCAAACCTTTGGTCACTCCATCAGTCTCCCTCCAGTGATTGAAGCTGGCGGCAGTGTGAGAGAGTTTTCTCAGCCCTCAGAGAAAGTTTCTTTTCTAAGTTATTGGGTTTCTTTCGAAGCTACTTCCACTCTTGCTCGTACCCAAGCATTGCATCCGGATACCTTTACTTCCTTTAATGTTCCTGGATCTATAGTGCAGACAGTGCTACTAAAGTCACCTGCCAGTTTCATTCGTTACCTCGCTACCAAGCAGATCCTTACAACCCCCAGCAAGTTCGTGGAGAGTGTTGAAGCTAACCTGAGCGGCTTTGAGAGGAATGGTTTGAACCTATCATGGATAAGGGACAGGCTTCAGGCAGTTGATGGTTTCCTTGAGCATGCTGACAATGTGGTGATGATTGCGTCCTTGGAGGAGACTATCAAAGAGTGTGAGGGTGCCCTGGAGCAGCACCAATAGAACCTGGCTCGGTTCAGAGAAAATGACTTTGCATTGGTTGCCCAGTTGCCTCGAGATGTGACTCTGATGGACTCCCTTTTGAAGGGTTTGATTTGATGTGATATAACTCTATTATGATTTCTTCCATTTTCTTTTCTTTATTTTGTTGTTTCATCGCGCTTGGGGTGCCTTTTCTTTTCTTCTTCTCTATCATAACTTCTTTTCAAACATTGTAATCATGTTCTGGAAGTTTGACTTTAATGAAAGTATGGATGTTTGGTGGTACTTTTGAGTTTCATTTAATCGCTTTCTTTACATTGCTTCTATATAGCTTCTAAAGATAAGCAAAAACTCTTACAGTGAACAAAACTTCACCATGACTAAGCTTTTACAAGGATAAAATTTCACAAAGTATGGAAAACTTTCCTCACACTAACGCTGTGTTTGGTTGGGGGACTTGAGGAGGGATTTGGAAAGGGAAAGAGAAAAGGTAGGTGGAATGTGAATAAAACATGCCTATATTTCACATAGTTTCACACATCTTTTCCCTTTCCCTTTCCAAACTTTCCCTTTCCCTTTCCAAATCCCTCCTCAAATCCCCCAACCAAACACAACATAAGTGTATATGAGAGCAAAAGGTTTTACTAAGTGTGTGACACTTTCTTTACACTTTGCTTTGGAAGTATTAACAAAGAAACTTTACAATTCTTTTTCTTGAACAAAAGAAAATTAAGAAAAATATTCTTTGACATAGTTGGCGTTGACAGGGCCAGTTCTGAATCCATCATCTACTCTTGTTAACTTGTAGTACCCGCTGCTGCTTGCCTCAGCAACTTTGTAGGGGCCTTCCCATCTGGGCGAGAACTTGGGAATTGGTTACCCCGCATGATTGGATCCACTGTTTTCCATACTAAGTCCTTTTTCTTGAACTTTTTGTGTTGAACAGATTGATTGTGGGCACGGGTTATGGATTGATGATACTTTTCCATCGCCCGCGAGGCCCGATCTCTTCTTTCTTCAACTGCCTCTATATCATTCTTTTTGCTGCCTGGAACTAAGTGTGCTGACATAGCCATTCTTGCTGAGGGTACTGCCAACTCAACTGGGAACACAGCTTCGGACCCATATACTAAGGAAAACGGGGTTGCCTGAGTTGGCTTCCTCTTTGATGTTCTATATGCCCAGAGTGCTACGGAAAGTTGTTCAGACCATGTGTCCCCTGCTTCATCCATCATTTTACTCAGTATTCTGATAAGGGTTTTGTTGGTCGCCTCCGCTTGTCCGTTCCCTTGAGGGTAGTATGGACTAGACTTTTGGTGCTTGATCTGGTAGGCGTCCAGTAGTCTTCCCGCATGGCGATTTACAAAGGGAGTTCCATTATTAGACAACATTACTTTGGGTATGCCAAACCTGCAGATTATGTTTTCTTTGATGAAGTTGGCTACTCTTGCCCCATCTACCTTCCTTATTGGTATAGTCTGTACCCACTTGGTGCTAACTTCAGTCACTGCAAGTATCCATCTGTGGCCTTTGGATTGCTGCGCTATAGGACTTACCAGGTCAAATGCCCAAGTATGGAACGGGTAAGGAGTCTTGATGTTGTGCAGTTCAACTGCCAGTGCATGTATCAAGTTCCCAAACTTCTGGCAGGATTGACATCTTCTCACAAAGTTTTTAGCATCTTTTTCTATTGTCGGCCACTAGTAGTCGAGGCGAATGAGATGTCCATATAATCATTGCCTTCCTTGATTCTCCGTCTTGTGGGCTTCTCTCAGCACCTCATTTGCCTCATCTTTTGATAAACAAGCCAAAGGTTCCCCTTTAAAGCTTCTTTGGTATAGTTTGCCTTCGTCAAGGAAGAAGCAGAGGGCCTGCCTCTTGATTCTAATTATATTGACTTTGTTCTCAGGCTGTCACGACCCAAACCCTGCCCTATGGGTTTAGCACCGTAACCGGCCAGTAATCCGAGATTACCGAAGGCCTGCTTAACAGTAGTACAGTAAAACAGAGTACAGGGCCTGGCGGAAGCCAAAACAGTAATTAAACAATGCCCAATGAGCTGTGACAGTCTCTATGCAAAAAGACTTTCCAAACATATTTACATTCAGTGGAAAGGTATACACAATATGTACAATCATTCAGAATAGGGACTCAATCCCTATGTAACAGTACAGTAACATGCAGTCTATACAATCCATTTAGTTATTACAAAACAGCAAGACAGTACAAAAGGGGGAGTCCTAAACACCCCTAAGCCTTAGCAAGATAGGCTTGGAACCTCGCAGTGAGGCACGGTAGTTGGCTTGACAAAACTGGAGTAACCCTGACGCTCCTAGCCGCGGTCTGGTGCCTGTACACCTACATATATATATGAGCAGTGAGCTAAAGTCCAGTGAATAACATAATGCGTAAAGAGGTTAAGAATGAATGTCCTTACAGTATGAAAATAGTTCATTTAAATAGTATTTCAGTCGTTCAGTCAGTACAGTCATATGTGGTACACCCATTAGCATAACAGTACAGTAAACAGTAGGTCTTAAAAGACCGAGCAGTAATGATGGCCATCATTCAGTAACAGTAGTGGTTCTAACGAGGGAACCGACAGAGATCTCTGTAACAGTAACAGTAAATAGTAGGTGCTAAGGATGCCACAATACAGTTCAGAATATAGGAAATACATTCATTCAGAAAACAGTACAGTTCAGTTGTTCAGAAGATAATCATTTGTGAACATATCTTTACACAATCGTTACTCACAGAGTTTGGGCTACAATATGCTAGAGCGTGCCTCTCCAGTCGCCAACCCTACACAGTTAACAGATTGAACACACTAAGCTACACAGCTGGGAAAGATAATAACTTAATCCCTAATTTGCCTCGGTGTGTTCTACATCTATATCCTCATTAAAATGTCTTAAACTAGGTCTAAGAATGCCTAGAATGGGATGAGGATGCAAAGATGTACTTTTAAAAGTATTTTTAGATTTTTCAGAAAACAGGGGTCACGCTCAAGCGTAGGTCACTCCGCTCGAGCAGACATGCAGACAAAGGTACCCGCTCGAGCGTAGAATTACCCGTTCGAGCGTTCTGAAAAAACAGTCAAAAGTGCTGGATGGGTGGAATCTCCGCTCGACGGACGCTCGACGCCCGCTCGAGCTTGAGACATAAAACTCCGCTCGAGCGCCCAGTCCTCCGCTCGAGTGGATTGTAAAACAGTGCAGAGATACTGGATGCTCGGATTCCACGCTCGAGCGTCACTTTCCCTGCTCGAGCGGAAGTGCAAAATCTGGAAATTCCAGATTGCACCTCCAAGCCAAAAACCAAATTGTTAACAACTCAAAACCGATCCTCTTGGGCTAATTTCTAGAAAAACACTTGTAAACACATGGAATAACATGGTTCAAAACTCAATTTGAGAAATCAAAGCCCAAGGGTGTTTAATTCAAACCCAATTTCAAACCAATTTCATGAACATGGAGAACATGCAAACATGCATGAATTCAAATCAATTCAAAGCTTCAATTTGATGCTCTAAGGAGCCAATTGTTTCCAAAACATGATGAAATCATGGACTTAAACATAATTGTGAACATGCATGTAACAATTTGCCATGAACTCAACCCAAAATCCAACAATACTAACATGCATGCAAAGATTGAGCTTCAATTGAACAACAATAAACCAAAACATGACTTAGTTCTATAATGAAGCATGAATCATGCAAGAACTAGCTCAATGGCAACAATAAGAAGATGAGTTTCCTACCTTAGCCTTGTATTCAAGGTTTGGGAGCTCAAATTAACAATCAACCTTCAAGTTTCTAAGTAATTCTTCAAGTTGAATTCAATTCACTCACTCTCACTCTCTCTAAGGTCGGTTGAGCAAGAGATATGGCTGAGGAAAATGTTTTGATTCAAGTGTAAGGCTCAAATATGTGTGAGATAGTGGATCACTAGGGTTAGTTTGGTAAATAAGGCCAACTTCAGCAATTGATCAATATTTAATCTAATTTAATCATACCTAATCAGTTTTCAGATAAATATACCATAAAATCACATTAATTAAGAGGATCGAGAAACATCAATCAATTCCCGGTTCGGCCACCGATAAGGCCTTCAATTAGCAGTTAAAAGCATAACACGTGAACAGATAATCAAACAATCAAACAGATAAATGCACAATTAAACAGATATACTCAGTCGATTCAGTTCTAGATTTCAGTCAATCAGTTCAGTACTTTAATCAGTTCAGTTATCAGTCATGATCAGTTCAGTTTAACGGTAATCAATGTTTATCGGTAAGCAGTGGTGAGGGTTATTACACAGGCATTGTGCCATTTCCAAGGTAGTCGATATATGGTTGCCTCCATTCTTCACTACTAAAGAAATGAGATTCCTCTTCCTTAGGATAAGACTGACACTTTGCACATTGCCTCTGCAACTCAGTACTTTCTTTTTCCATCTCTGGCTAGTAATACCCATGCCTCTGTATCCGTCGATATAGATTAATATCTCCATCTCCACAGGACTTAGCATGGATCTGCTTAAGTCTGTAAGTTGCTTCTTGTCTACCGACATATCTTGCCAGCAAGTTGTTGGGACCGCAAAAATACAACTCTCCTCGGAGGAGCGAAAATGATGCAAGTTCTGCTGGTCTGATTGTTCCTTGGCCTGTTTTCAACTGCTGGATTATATATGTTTTCCACCCCTCAGCATCTTGCTCTGTATGTTCTTCGGCTAGCACTGCTGGTGTTATTCTTTTCTCGATGACGATGGCTATACTATCATCTGGTATTTCCACCTTTGCCCCTAGTGTAGCCATGGTATTAGGGAAATGGTTATGTGTTCGAGGGTATGCTGGATTTGGACATCATCAAACTGAGTGAGCAATCTTTGAACTATAGTGCGATATGGGGCCAACAGAGGCTCCTTCAAGGAAAAATCACCCATCGTTTGCTTAACAACCAACTTGGAGTCACCCTAAATTTTCAACTTGTGAAGGCCCTTTTTTGGGCAGCTATTAGACCTAGTTTTAGCACCATGTATTCAGCCTCGTTGCTTGAATACTTAAAGTCAAGCTTATATGATAGATAAAACTTTTCTCCTTCTTGATTGGTTAGTGTTATGCTAGCTCCACCTTTCCCAACTCCGGAAGCTCCATCAAATTTTAAGTCCCAATAAGTCTTAATTGCAGCTGCTGAGACATGAATTTCACTTGGTAGAGGCACCTCCGCGGGTTTATGTTCACCAGATGGGAACTGGGCCAATAAGTCCACAAGTGCTTGGCTTTTAATATCCTTGGGAGTAACACAAACGATATCATATTCTACTAGAGCCAAGAGCCATCTTGCCATTCTTCCAGTCAGAGCAGGCTTGCTCAGTAAGTTGCGGATTGGATCACTCCGGGACACAACTTGGATCGAGTGTGCCAAAAAGTAGTGGCGCAACTTTTGCGTTATGAAGATTAAGGCTAAACAATGCCTCTTAATTGGGGTATATCGCGACTCGGCGCCATTGACTTTGCGGTTGATGTAATAGACTGGCTTCTCAATGCCATCAATGTCTCAGACAAGTAGAGCTCTAATAGACTGAGGAGTAGAGGTTAGGTATAGTAGCAGAGGCTTTTCAGGCTATGGTGCAATCATTGTAAGTGGAGAGGTAAGTGCTTTCTTCATCATATCAAATGCCTATTGGTGTTCTTGCAATCATTCAAACTTGTGATCCCCTTTCAGTCGTGTCCCAAAGGAGAAGGTTATCTCAGCAAGGGCTGGAATAAACCTCCTGAGGTATGACACTTTGCCTAGGAATTTCTTCAAGGCCTTTTGAGAGTGTGGCTGTGGCATCTCCATGATTAACTTGATCTTATCCCAATCTAATTTGATCCCCCTCTGGTGTACAAGAAAGCCAAGGAACTTGCCGGCGGTAACTCTAAAGGCACACTTGAGAGGGTTCATCTTGAGGCAGAATTTGCGGCAATGCTGAAAAACTTTTTCCAAGTCGTAGAGGTGGCGGTTTGCCTTAGTAGACTTGACCACCAGATCATCCACATATACTTGCACTTCATGATGTAACATGTCGTGGAACACTGCAGTCATAGCTCGTTGGTAGGTTGCCCCCGCGTTTTTCAAACCGAAGGACATCACCGTATAGAAAAAATTTCCCAAGGGCGTTCTGAAAGCCGTCTTTTCTATATCTTCTGGTGCCATTTTGATCTGGTTATAACCACCGAACCCATCCATGAAGGAGAACATCTGATGGCCCGTAGTAGAATCAACAAGTGTGTCAACATGGGACAATGGAAACTTATCTTTCGGGTAGGCCTTATTTAGGTTGTGAAAGTCTACGTAGACCCTGATTTGACTGTTCTTCTTCTGCACATGTACAATATTTGCTAGCCAGGTTGGGTACTGTATAGGCTCAATGAACTTTGCCCTCTGCAACTTTTTTGCTTCTGCCTTAATCTTTGTTTTAAGATCAGGGTAATACTCTCGAGCATGTTGCTTGATTGGCATAGAGTTGGGGAAAGTGTCCAAATGATGAGTGACAAGGGATGGATCAAGACCAGGCATCTCGTCGTATGTCCAAGCAAAGACATCACTATACTACTTCAGTAATATTATCAATTCTGCCTTAGCTATTGGAGCCATTGTGTCGCTAATAAACACCGGCTTACTCTGCCCAGGTAAGTCACTGAGGTTGACCTCAGCAAGTACCTCTTGCTGCGGTTTTGGTCTATCTTGCATGCATTTAGGGGTGGGCTTAGGCGCCTCTACCAACCCTTCTTGGGACTCATTACAGTCACATTTATTTGTCTTGGGGCCATCCTCCCAAGGTATGAAGTTTGGCCCCTAAGATCGTCATAGGTAGTAAATTGTCTTGCCGCCATCGTGCACTTTAACAATCTTGGGCGGAGGACTTGTGGATTTGCTACTCCTTTTCTGTCCACTACTTTCTAGAGTAGTCTTTGCATCTCGAATGTTTTCCCACTTCAGTAATTTTTCATCTGTGGACAACTTAGTAAAGAAAACTACATCCGAATAGTGTGTCTCTTCCACTCCGAATGGCTTTTCAGATGCATTTATGGTCACTGTGCACTTTTTCAACTTTGCTTTCACGTATTGGTGATAACTGGACGGGATAGCCCCATATCGGTACATCCAAGCTTTGCCAAGTATCATATGATAATTTGTGTCTACTTAAATCACGTGGAACTTAGTTGCGGAACGGATCTCGCCAACTGCTAAGTCCACGAGAACATGGCCCCTAGTAACTTTTTTCTCATCACAAAAACCCGTTACAGTGATCGGTTGGCGAATCATTCTGGACTCTGGGATATCAGCCTTTGCAAAGGTGTCAGTAGTGATAATGTTTATGGATGCCCCACCATCAAGGAAAGCACGCTTGAACTCTACGTCATTGATGTAAGCTATGACTAAAAGAGGACGGTTATATGAGGAAACGGGTATACTCTGTCTGTTTCTGAAAAAGTAATGGCCCCATAAGCTTCCTCGACGCATCGAGGCACATACTCCTTAGCCTTAGCAACTTCAGTATGGTGCACTTCAGAGATGTTGATGAGGGCCTTTGTTGTTTCCATCCTGGCAACTTCGCTCAGCCCCAGCTGATCAAAGAAGGTGCGAAACTTAACAGAGTTTTGCAAGGCTTGAGCATGAGTATCGTCTGCGAATTTTGCCTCTGCAGGTATTGTTTCAGGGAGCTGGCCACTAGCAATTTCTTCTAACTCATCACAGTAGGATGCCATGTGCACTTGATCGCGCACGGGCCCAAGGTACCTAATCATATGTACATGTTTTCCCTTCTCATTGTGATTAAGATAGGGGTCCTTCTTTATATCATGATTACCGGCATCTTTGAACTTCAGCTCATTCGCATCAACTTTTTTCTTGAAGATACTTTTCAAAGTCCAACAGTCCCTAATAGGGTGTCTGGTGGTTCTGTGATAGACACAACAATTTCGGTTTATCATTGTCCTTCTTGGTTGGAGGGACATCAACCAGAGGCAAAATAAGTTCACCATCAGCTACCCATTCTTTAACCAAGGCCTTAACATTCTCAAGGCTGCAAGGATATGGATTTCTATCCTCATAACTTTTATTCTTTCGAGAGGACGAGGCCTCTGCTTGCGAGCGGCTCCTTCCTGTGGAGGTTACCACAGAAACTCTACTATTGCGAGAGTAGCGGTGGCTGTCACGAGACCTGTGCAAAGGACCAGTTGTATTGAGGTTCCTAGTTGCCTCAATCAAGGCTGAAAAGGTAGGCAGATTATGCTTCACTAAGAAAATTTTGTAGTCGCGTATGGCAGCCTCCATACATATGCTGACTAAATGAGCCTCATCCACTGGTTCATGACAGTCAATAGCTTTATCTTGGAACCGCTTAACATAGTCCAGTATATCTTCACCTTCTTTTTGAACATCTCGCCCAAGTGTGAGGGTTGTTACTTTCTCTTGGATTTGGAAGAACTTTGTGTGGAACTTGTTCACCATCTCCTCCCAACTCTTGATTGAGTTGGGAGCCAAGTTCACATACCAACTGTAAGCCCTTTCAGTGAGTGATTTGGAGAACTCCCGAAGGCGCAGAGAGTGGTCACTGCCATGGACACCAAGAGTTTCAATGAACCTCACCACATGTTCTCTGGCATTGCCTTATTTTCCGTCAAACTTAATAAGCTTGGGCACTATATACCCAGTTGGGTATGGCATGGTCAATATCTCTTGAGAGTATGGGGGCTTCACATCTGGGTCTGGGAGAGATGACAGCTGCTTCTTGCTACGCTCTTGCTCGAGTATAGCTTGTACATCGGCAAGAGTAACAAAGTGAGTGGGCTGGAATGGTCCAGTTTGCTCCAGGGTAGCTGAACCAGCGGCCGTACCGTTCGCCTGAGGTACCACCAGCGGCACCTGGATCGGAGCTCAAACCTTAGGGAACAAGTTTGGCACTGGGTTTGGGACTACTACAGGCTGAGGTGCTTGTACTGGAGACGGTTTAGAAGCCATGACCATAATAGCCTCAGTGAGAGTTTGTAAAGTTGTCAGGATCTCCCTTTGCGTATCCTAGAGTGACTGAACTGGCTCAATCACAACACTGTGGTCACGGTCCTCCACATGTGCTGCTCTGCCATTGGAAGAGCCCTGCTGTTGTGGAGGTTGTTGAACTTCATCCTCTGCCATCTTTTCCAGAGAAGTGTGTAAGTTACTGCAGGTATGAACCATCAACAAAGAAGCCTTCCCAGCGGAGTCGCCAGAAATGTAAGGGGTTCAAGGTTAGAGCAGTGATTAGAGAGGCAAAACTATGCTAATGGTCCACTAATGGTGGGGGTGGCTGAAGAATGAGTAGTAGCAACTATCTGGGAGTTGGAGAGTGTGTAACTGGGTGAGGGTGAAGCATGTGGCTCAAGAAGAAGATAATTACAGTGCCAAAATAGGCAACATCTCCCCCAAATCCCTAAAATTCTTCTTGTTGAACCTTGGGAAATGAGTCCTATTTATAGGCTTTTTCTTGGTGCCAAAAGGACACCAAGTGGCCAAATAGAGAGAAGACATGTGTCCCAGAGGATCACATGAAATATTCTGCCTTGAGCCACCAAGCTGAAGGTGCCACGTGTCCCTTTGCATGTATTGTGTACTATTTGTTTGCCTCTGTAACTACTTTTTTGAGTCTCAGCAAGTACAATTGCGACGAGAGTGTTTGGCGTTGCAACTCCCTTTTGAGCCTCAACAAGTGCAGTTGCAGCGGAAGTGCTTACTTCTGCACTTGCCTTCTCGGCTTGAACCTCAGCAAGTGCACTTGCAGCGGTGAACC